ACACAGTATGTTGATAAAACGTTTCCGAAATGTTGCCAATGTTGCTCTATGTTGCAAGTTGATCTACAACATTGATAAAACATTGCTTCAATGTTTCCACCTGGAATGTTGCTACGACACTTCTACGAATGTCATTGCAACATTTGCTATCAACATTGAGAGAATGTTGACACTCTTGACATCGACAACGTGGCGACAACATTCTGATACAACAAGGACTTAGAAATTTTAGGGAATCGTAAAGTCGTCCTCCTTGCCACGAGATGGAGACGTAGGTCTCGCTTTTCTCACAGTGCACAAAAGTGCCCTTCTTCCTTTCCCTGTTCTCGTCCCGCACGGGAATGTTTAGTACCTTGCCTATGTCTCGCATTGTCTCATTATACGAATCAATGAACACGGACACATCATTCACTTGTTATCCTCATATTCGAGACAGATTCATGGGGTCAAGATAAAGAAGCTCTTATTCCCAAAAATAACCCTTTCTAGAACTCGTCCATTGCATCCTGCATTACTGTATAAAAAAACGATTGCAGAGAGTCTGTCATCCCAAGCGTTCACATCCTCATCCTGAGAACTAGAGGAAAAGACGGACTGATTTCATGGACACTCCAAAGAACATGGCGGTCGGACCTTTTCTTGTAATGTGCCATATTTCGCACATTACAGGGGAAGATCACCTCGAAAAATTTCCTATGTCTCCTGCCTGTACATGATACAGATACCATTTTATGCATGGGTAGGGCTTATACCAGTACAGGCTTCGTCCTGTTGATGGGAATGTATGGGAATGAGTAGAAGTAAAGTATATGGTACGGAATGATGAAATAAATAATTCAATATTGGTCGATTATCGGTCCACTTCAGACCAGCAAAGCCTATGCTTTTCCGTAATGCCAATATAGGCCTTGTTTAGGTGCCAATGAAGCAAAGTTTTTAATCAGCAGTGCAGCAACATAAATCCTGAAGCGTTTCTGCAACGTATATGTAATGAATAAGTAACGATTTGCAACGTAAATGCAATGTTCCTTCGCAACATTTGAGCAACGTTGACGTTTTGGACATTTACACATAGATGCAACATTGTTCAAGTTGCATGTACCTTCAGCCATCTACTTTTGAGCTATGGCAGATTTGGTAAATTTGGTCAAAATTCTGAGTATACAAGCTTGCAACTGACGCGACGAGGCGTCCACTGTAAAAAAAAATATGTTCCTTTCGACAAATCATCGCAAAAACTTAATAGAATTAGTTTACACTTTCGCTGCCGATGGCGCATCTCGTCTTTATTCTTGCCATAGAAATGAACCTCATCGGCAGCGAACGTGTTAAATTCCATCGCTTAATTCCATCTCTTCTGATAATCAGACATGTTTAGAAAACCGTAACGTCGGCAGAGTAGCTATTCCACTTTAAAGTTTTTGGGAGAAACCTACTTTTCAGGGTATATCCTCTGAGGGGCACTTTTTTTCCAGATAAGCTTATCCCGAAAATGATAGCCTCCATTAACTCGGGTCCTTCTCGAGCGTATTACAGATTGGCGCGAAAAGCCGCTATTACCCCTTGTAACCAAATCGATGCAAGAGGTAATGAATAATTTTGAAAATAAATGGAACACGCCTACCAAAATGTTAAAAATGTGTTTAACCAAACCATTCGAACGCACCGGCAAGGCAGGCTATAAACTCTCCGGTTCGTTAAAGACTAAAATGGAAGGTCTTGGACTCAGAAGTGGAAATACTTGGAAGTAGACGGAACACTTTTAGAGCCTCTTAACCCATTACTGTTGCCTATAAGTTAGCACATAATATGCTGTGTGCTATAGGAAGTCGGCAGAACAGGAAAGGTCCAGGGTTGCTCTAAGTACAATCTACAGGTAAGTCGTATGCTCTGTACCGAGATCAAAAGTGAATGTATGCAATCTTGTCGCGTTAATACGTCTAGGTAACACACACCCAGAGTGCAAGAGTTTTCTATTCCTACAAATTTTTTTTCCCTTGCAGGGAGGCAGAGGGTTTTCACCATGGGGAAAGATGGGGAGGGCCGAAGGGGAATTTGGGAAGTTCTCCCCTCCCACACACTTTTGGTTAAAACACGTCATAAATCAGGTGATTTCCTCCTCGCCGATTCATCCAGACTCATACATGCTACAGAGAAGAAAGTGCATGTAATATCACTCAACAATAAGGAAATTCAAGGAGCTCCTTACAAATGGGACGAGGTGATTCCCATCACCGATAGATTCATTGTCAATGGTACCGCTGGATTTATTATGCAAGACTCCTTAATTCTGCTTGGAGGAGACGGAAACCCCAAGAGAGTACTTCTTCTGGACTTCAGCACGAAAAAGTGGCAGACCCTCTCTTCCATGAGAACAGGGAGAAAAGGAGCAGCATTGACGAAGATAGACGAAAACACCATCCTTGTTCTGGGAGGAGAGGATCCTAAAGGAATGAAGCTGCTCGCCAACTGCGAGTACTTTGACACCAGGTCAAGGGGATGGTCAGCATTTGGAAACCTTAAAATGCCCATTCCTCTCTCGGATCATGCAGTCACAGTTTGCAACGATTATATATACGTCTCGGGGGGATGGGATGGGAGGGAAACCGCAAAGGACGTGTGGAGAAGCAAATTAAATGGTAGAGGATCCTGGGAGAGGCTCCCCCCTTTAAACAAGCAAAGAAAGAATCATGGAATGGTAGGAGATGGTGCAGGGAAACTGTCTGTCATCGGTGGTCGGTTTCATCGAATAAACCGGGAGGATATTCAGGTCCTTGAGACAGAAGCCTTCAAAGTGGATGAAGGAAGTGGGTGGGTGCCACAAGGGAAACTTCCCTTGCGAAGAGCCTGGAAGGCGACAGATATGAAGTGAGTTTTCTTGCAGGGATTCTCTTCCTTTCCTTTTATTCCTCTCTCCCCATCCCATCTCGCAAAGACGCTCTCACGGCAAACTTGAAACTTTGATTTCAACTCAAATGAATTATTTGTCTTTCCCCACAGGTTCTATTGATGCGTTTTTCAAGTGTCATGGGCATTGAGAGATGCGAATGCTTCAGATGAGATACTCTATGAAAATCATGCTTTGGATATTTCAGTGACCCTCTTAATCCTGAGCTGGAATAAACAAGTATATCACTTGCTCAGAAATTTAGTTATTCGAAGCTGTGTGGAATCGCTTTGCAGTAATTGACCAGTGAGTGGCACTGCAATGTAGCATAAGCCATAAGCCATCTAATATACACTCAATGTCCACAAAATTAGAGATACCTCACTTGTAGCGTGTTGGCCCTCAAAACAGCATCAATTCGTCGTGGCATGGATTCCACGAGGTGCTGGAAACGTTCTGCTGGCATCCCGGCCCATGCTGCTAGCACAGCGTCACTCAGTTGCCGCTTGTTTGATGGCAGTACAGGCAAGCCCCGCACAGCCCGTTCCACCTCATCCCAAAGATGTTCTATTGGATTGAGATCAGGGGACTAAAGCCCCGCACAGCCAGTTCCACCTCATCCCATAGATGTTCTATTGGATTGACATCAGGGGACTGTGCAGGCCACTGGAGCAAGGCGAACTCCTGAGCATGTTCCTCGAACCAATCCATGACGATACGGCCCTTGTGGCACGGTGCATTGTCCTGCTGAAAGTATCCATCTGCTTAAAGGAAAACTGTGATCATAAAGGGATGGACCTGATCGGAAACGATGTTCAGGTATGCCGTACTGTCCTGACGACCTTCCAGGGGTATAAGGGGACCTAGGGTTCGCCAACAGAACACACCCCACCCCATCACAGAGCCGCCACCAGCCTGTAATGTTGACACCAAACAGGAGGGGTCCATGGATTCATGTTTCCTGCGCCAGATTCGCATCCTCCCATCGGGGAAATGCAACTGGAACCGGGATTCATCTGACCACGCAACCTTCTTCCACTCGGCAACGGTCCAGTGACGATGCTCTTTTTGCCCGGAGAAGTCTCGCTTTCCTGTTTTTGTCCGACAACATTGGCACTCGAACTGGTCTTCTGCTGTTGTGGCCCCTCCGCGCTAAGGTGCGACGGGTTGTGTGCACGGATATGCTTTTCGGGACACCAGCGTTGAATTTTGCCGTGATTTAGCTTACTGTAGCCCGCCTGTCGGCCAAAACGATACGTGGCCAACCTTCTCTGACCTCGAGCATCAACGAGGCTCTGCCGTCCACAGGATGCCCTTGCAGCCGTTGTTTTTCGCTAATCACACCATTCACGGTATACACGTGAAACTGTAGCATGTGAAAAACCTAGCAGTTTGACGGTTTCCGTAATACTCAAACCAGCTAGTCTGGCACCGACGACCGTTCCACCTTCAAAGTCGCTAAGGTCTGCTGATTTGCCCATTCTGCAGTCAAAACACACACTAAAGCAGGGCTGCCTGCTTTAGGTCACAACCTAACCGACCTAACCTAGGTAGCTGCATGGAAAGTTAAATGTAGGGGTATCTCTAATTTTGTGGACATTGTATATAGACGATCGTGACCGACTGACTGAGTGACTGACGCTAATTCTAAACATGTTCTATCTATAGAAAGGTTAGAAATCTGAAACTTGGTAAACATGTACCTTTTGGGATGCATAGTTCGCAAAAAATCCGACTTTGGAGGTACATGCCCTGGGGGTACACATTTTGGGGGGAAACCTTTTTCTTAAAAAGATATTGTGGCAGATGAGGATGGCCTTACTCACTGGATGTTGCAGGTTCGGTGGTGTAGTGGTGGCACATCTGATCAACAAGCAGGAGGTCCGCGTTCAATTCCCGGTCCTTCTGTTGCTTTCATTTGGCTTTTTTCTGCCTTCCATGTCCCGTTACTCATTCCCCCTCCATTAATTATTTTTGCTTGAGTAAAATGGAGAGACAGGGAAAGCTGAAATCTGGCATGGAGGTGTCTAACGAGACGATGAGTTCAGGAAAAATGCAAAATTTTACATCCATATCCTGGGGGCATATTTTTGTGAGCCAACGTTTTCAAGTATTTTTTGTGTGTAGTGGCGTATTGAGTTAGTGTGGAAAGATGAAATTTCGTACATAACTACCAATTGGGATGTTGCAGAAAACTTCAGACTTTGGAAGTAAATTCCTTGGGGGCACAAATTTCAAAGGGAGATGTTTTCAACTAATTTATTTGCATCTGTTAAACTGATCAACATGGAAAGCTGAAACTTTGCATGAATGTGACTACTAGGACAAAGAGTTAAAGAAAAATTTTAAGTCTCCATACATTCCCTAGGGGAATTTTTTCGAGATGCGAAGTTTTGAAGAAAAAAAACGGTCGTGGTGAATTGGACAGAAATGGAAAAATGGAGAATGGATTTCCGTATAAAAAAAAGGTACTTTTCGGTGAAAACGGCTCAGAGTACATATTTTGCAAAAACCGTATTTTCACGAATTTTCTAATCAGCAAAAGGGTGGGCCCATGAAAGTTTTAAACAAAACTTGGCAAATAAGTACCTGATGGATAGCTGCGTAAAGAAAAAATTATACTTATATTATATTTGGGCGATCGTGAGTAGCTGACATAAGTAGCTATTCGCATGCTCAGTTCAGGAAAAGTTCTACTTTGGTGATGCAAACGGCATCACCAGCATACGGCGATGCCGTAGGGGCGCACCTTTCGGGTAACATATTTTCAAATAGTTCTCTTTGCTTCAAACGGAGACACATGGAAAGATGAAACTTGCCATGAACGTGATCACTGATGCACTGAGCTCAAATGTTAAACGCGAAATTTCCAAAAAAAGTTTTGGGGTTCATATTTCTTGAGGATGAAACGTTTTAAAATAATTGTTCACATCCTACCGAATCCGGCAGAAATAGGAAAGTAGCTGGCGCACGCATAACGGACGTGATGTTCATTTAAGGAAAAATTCAACTTTAGTTGTGCGTCTCCTCAGAGTACAGATTTTGGGTGGGTCGCGTTTCCAAACATGTTTTTTTCCGCCTGCAAAAAGGGGAACCGCATTAGGCGGAAACTGGGTGGTATGAAGTTCCCTGAGTCCACATTTTAAAAGGAAAACCATTTCCGTTAAAACCCATCAGGGCACTTTTTTCAGTCCCATTGTCCTGAATATTTTTTTTTGATCCAACGAAACAGACAGAAAATATAAACTTCCCTCAGAAGTACCTGTTTAATGGCCGAGTACAGGAAAAACTTTTGAAATATGTCTCCTTACCGTAGATTATTGGAGGGAAGTATTTCAAAATGTATTCTCAGGAAAAGAGTTAAAGGTATGCACACATAGAATCATAGAAGTAATGCTTTTGATAAAGATCAAGACTTTCGACCCTGTATGTCACGTATTTCAATGTTGACGTACTTTAAATACGTGTTTCCCATTTCGCAAAAAATGAATGAATTAAGCACTATCCACGGTAATGGAGCGCCGAAGGTGCGACCATAGTGAGTCTTGTTTGCCCGAAGGGCAAACAAACTCGCTAGTATAGTATACTGGGTGTTGCACATAGTGTTGCACATCTCCACAACCTAAACTACAGAAGCTAGAAAAAATTTTAAATATTTTTGGAATCCCTGTTCAATTTTGAATCTATTCCTTTTTTTTTCCTGATGTCATATGATATTGAAAAACTTAAATTCAATGATTCCACCCATGCTATTACATTTCGAGCTCATGATGCCAGAGTCGAATTCGTTACCCGTTCATCGGTTTCGAAAAATATTACATGTTCAGCTTCTATCTGATGAAGCCCTATTTTTCAAAGCTTTGATCACACGGCAATTGCTGAAAGGGTCAGATATACCTCTTCTTTGGAAATGCGGACTTGCCAGGAAACTCTCCTGATCTGAATATGGCCGAGAACATGTGGTTATCTTGAAAGACCGAGTGAAGGCCCATGCAAATGGAGGGCAAGCAGCATGGATTCTCCCGGGAAGACTTGCAAAGCGACATCACCATGGTGTTGAGGGACGAGGAAGATGACACCGAACTCTTTAAAAGCCTCTTTTCATCTTACCCGCTCGAATTAAAGCTCTCAGAGACAGAGCCAGAACGCATACAAATTATGAGAACTACATTCTTAGATTCGAAAATGAATGTTCTTTCTCATGATATACGAGTTTTTTCCCTAGCTCTTATAGTTTCGGCTGTGGAAGGGGGGCTATATATGTGCGACACCCAGTAGTATATTTAACCTCATAATTTAGCTTCTTTCTTCAGACACATGAGAAATTAACTAATCATCGCATATACTCTTCCATCCGTCCTGATGCAATTCCACTCCAACTTAATTACATGATAATACACAAATTCGCTATGGACGCGTCTTCGGCGTACTACATATAAAGGAAAATACTAATGCATTCACAGCATCCGATTTCGAAGCTCATCCCTAACGATGCGGTCAAAGCCTCTTATTTAAAGGGTTTGGCGATTCTCGTGCCTTCGGTGCTCGCACTTTGAAATCAAATTACTTCATAACGACGCCATGTGACTTCCAGCATGAGGAATGCCAGGTAAAAATTCATTCCGTCGATTAGTGTCTTTAGTAAATTTAATTTACTAGTAAATTTAATTTCTACCTGTTGCCATTCTCTTATATGTATATACAGGGTCATTCAGGTCAACTTTAAACTTCCCTCCTGCACCAAATATTTGACTCATGTAGTTCAAATGTAATTCTTTGAATTCGTACGATTCTCCTGTTCAATCCAGCCCTAAATTTGACTTTGTCGTTTGAACACCAGTATAGAAAATGCATTGCAAGCCAGGTGGTTGATAGTCGTAGAACTGCGTGAACTGGGACTGAAAAGACCAGACATTGAAGAGGCGGGCAAGAAGTTGAACTTGAACCGAGTCATCATCACAATGACATTGGGTCGATATCTTGAGACAGGCTCTACCGCCTAAGAATCTGGAGGTAGCAGAAAAAAGACGAGAGCGAAGAAATTTTTGAACCAAGTCAAGCGCTGGATTTAGCGCAATCTCAACAAATCAATCAGGAAGATGGCGAAGGAGAGGAATGTCTCGAGGTCGACGATGGTGAGGTCGGTCAAGAACGATCTAGGGTTCACCTCCTACCGGCTCCAGAAGCAAAAGCTCCTCAGTGCAGCCACCAAGGGTAAGAGACTGTCCCGAAGTCAGTAAATGCTGGAGAGGCTCAAGAATGGTTCGGCCCTCAAACGTCGTCTTCTAGGGCGGGAAATTATTCGTGGTGCATACGACGACCACAACAAACAAATTGATTGGGTTTAGGCACGAAGTCGAAAGGAGATTCTCGACCATGCTGACATGGTGTTCCGCATCCAGAAACCACCCAAGCAGCATGTTGACGTAAACAATATATCAATTTTTTGCAAACAATGTAAATTTCTTGCGATTGCCATGAAAATGACGTCACTTTTACGTAAAATGTACCTTCCAATATTTACGTCACTAAAGCGTACGTGTATTTTACGTAAGCTAGACGTCACTTTATCTTACGTGAAGTACATGATATCAAGTTTATGCAAAATTAACACCACACCATCCATATGAAACTTTTGTTGACTATCCCGCAGTTGCAGTACCAAGATTCCTCACTCGATGGAACCCTTGTTCCCTGCACCTTATAAATGCTATTAAGTTCCTGCTTTCCTGATATAGTATCAATTTTTCTTACCATCCTTCCACTTTTTATTTTGCAATCCATTAATACGAGGGTGGTTCAATCCTTACCTGCACTTTTTATTCTAGAAAATCAACTGGATAGAAAAGAGCCTGAAAGCCTAATAAGACAGATAGCCCCAATCCTCAATGTGATTTACGCCATTTATACCGGTATCCCTTGCGCATGTGTGAAGAACATGGCGTCCCGTGGTATATCCTCTGGGGTTAAACAGCATTATTCAATAAAATATATTTAACGTGAAAGAGTATGTGATGGAGGCTGATACTCTTTGATATGTGAGGGACCTCGGGCAAGGACTCTATGAGACGGAATTCTCGGTGGAGATACACATCTAGTCTGTTCCCACTCGAATTTCTATGCCTGGGAGTTCACGCCTGACAATCCTTTGTCATTTCATCGGCGTCATCGATCGAGCGAGGACGCCCTACTGGAATGAACCATGACTGAGTAATTCCTTCACTGTAGAAGAGAAGGAAATAGTTCCTTGCCTGGGATTCCAGACAATACCAGATCCTTCCCCGTCCCACTTCTCACTGGATCATTTCAACCCGTGAACCCTCAAGGGGAATTTTCGGCAAAATATAAGGTTCGCCATCCCCTTCATTCTCGACAATAAACTACGAACATTGCAGGATGTAATCCTTACAAATGTAACGTTGGAAGTAGAAAGATCTGTTCGCTTCATCTGCTTACGCGCGTCTTCGTCGGAAAGAACCCGACGACCCCGACCGGCAAAAAACCCTTCTCCTTACTAGGATGACAGAGCACTGTAAAAATTAATTCCGACTAAGGTATCGGAAACAGGGTTTCCGTCTAATGCGCGGAGAAGCAGATTCCAGTTCATACCACGTCTCCTATTTTTAACGTAAACATGCTGTTCCGAAAAAAAAACTCGAAATCGATCTTTCCGACGAAAGCGAAAAATGAAGCTTTCCTCTCATTTTTCGGAAAATTTCAATCCATAGTCGGAATCGGGTTCCCGTTCACGAAAGTCATTTTCGTCTCATTCGGATTTTCCTTAATTGCCGTCATTATTCAAAAACAGCTCCTTTCCATTCGATATACTGCATAATTAATGCGTTTTTCTATTATCATTACGCAACCTCCCGTCATTAATCTGAGTATTTGGTGCATCCCTATCATGGAGAAGCAGTACGCTCTTTTCACAAACGAGATTATTCAGTATCTCCTTTTAACCTCTTTCGAAAATATTACAATACATTCTCACCCCTCTCTCTTCTCAAAGGGAGAGTATTAGGAAAGAATCCGAATCTTCCACCTCTTATATTTTCATTGGTTCAGGACGTGCGGGCAGCCGTCAGCCAGGAAATGTAGATGATGTCGGTTCAGCATGGCGTCCATCGTTTCAGAGCAGTTCCTCTCCCAACGAGAAGAAGAAACTGTGATGCTCTACATCTCCCCTGTATCCGACAGGGAAATACAAATAAATATGCATTTCTTTTTGAGAATGTAAACCATACGTTTTTAGAAGCATCACGGCGTCATATTTGAGAGGATATCAGAGTCTAGCGGGAGTCATCTATCGTTCGGGCTGGAAACTGAAGGTATCGGGTGGCTTCCTCGAGGTGGCAATAGCGAAAGGTCCGAACGATCACGAAGGATATTTCGACGTATATTCGAAACGGGCTTTTCTGACGCGAAGGAGGAAAAGGGTCTTTCGCTCGAACGTCGGAATTCGCATTTCGATCTCCCTTAGACGTAATATTTTGTTCAAGAGGAAAGGGAAATTTCCGAAAAAGAAGACGAAGTGGGGTTTCCGAAGAAATGCAGGATATATTTTCCAAGCATGAGACGAAATCCAGGTTTATATGTCCTTCGTCAGAAATTTTTGCGAAGAATAATCGGAAATTCCCGAAAAAATTTTTTTACAGCGAGTAGAATTTCCTAACATGCGGACATTCGCTTTCACGGGGACCTCCACGGATACGTGAAGGTGGGTTGGTCGCGTCATTGCATCTCTTCCGCGAGGAGCCCCATCACGACTGAAAAAATGCTTGTGGCGCCTATCATCTGAATCTCATCTCATGGAGGATGACATGCTGGCGGAGCCAGAAACCCAGAAGTAAGTAGACGCTCGAGACATAGATATCTTCCAATCGGCTCGAGGGCCGAGATGAATCTGTCGATTCTCAACTGATTCTTAGATTTTGTTCTCTGGAGGAACGCAGTCAACATAGTAAATGCTACATTTGAAAAGAGAGAGAGCACTAGTGTGCGTATAGGTTTGACATAACTTCAGCCATGCATTGCGCCATCTCATTTCCCTCGTGCCGTCTCCTGTCGGCACAAAGGAAATGGGATGGCGCAATGCCCTAACTCCCTAACTCCTTTTGCCTCTTCCTTCGGGATTAGACATTCCGGATCCATTTTGTCTCACGGTTGTAGATCTCCCCGATCACCCTCTTTCTATATCACTGATCGGTTGATGTGTTGATTGTGTATTAGCTTAATCATTTAACGGAGTGGTTTCCCCAGTTATCCCCTTGGCGTGATCCTGGCCGCTGTAATCTATAGGAGCGGCCCACCGACCCTCGACCCACCCTGGATATGAGTCAGACCGTCTTTGCTTTCACACCGCTGCACCTCATAAAAAAAAATTGTATCACCCCTGATCTATATACACGTAGTGTTGCGATCCCCACCACCAGTAAAGAAGAATGCACGGAACCGGAACGTAACAATATTTTTGTATTTTTCTGAAATTATTTTTTTGCAGAACTTTCTTCGTTTTCCGCTTTCCATGAGGGAATTATTAATTAATTACTATTAATTACTAATTACTAGCATTAATTACTTTCAATATTGTAACGGCCCAGCCGGCACGACACCCGGTGAGTGGCCTGGGAGGACTGCCGGTATGCGAGGGAAGAGCTCTCTATGAGTCGCCCAGGGAGACCGCAGTATATGCATGACCCCCTAGGTGTCACGCCTGACCTCTGACCCTTGACCCCAATCGAGAGATCTCTCTTAGTAACCCTCTATATGTCTTTTGTTCTCAGCCACCTCTCTTTTCATTTCCGTCTGGCACTCACAGACTAGAGGCAGAG